ACCTGCAAAGATGACTACTACATATGGCAGAAATGATAAAACACAATTCAGATTATAGATACAAGAAAATAAGACCTAATCCAAATTTATAGTATGACATTTCTATAACAGAGTTGCTACCGAAACGTCACACACTATTAATTTATTTGGATTAGGTCTTATTTTCTTGTAACTATGGAAGAAATGTTCATTTCTACCAATTACAAATTGTTTGCCATTATAATACACAACATGTCACCTATACATCAGCCATTTTGTGAAGTCTTATTTAGCCGATAAAATGGCATGGTTGTTATTTGAACATTACAATGGTATAACCTTGCTATATATCTCCTTCTTTCTTATCTCCACTCAATCATATTAGTGTATCAAGCTTGACAACCATCATGACTGGGTGAAGTTGTCTGCCTTTGTCATTAAGACTGGGAGCACTACTCAGTGGCAGGCCGACTTAGCTCCAAAAGAAATGGCCACCTCTGACATGAGGAACAGATGCCATGTGCAGCCGCTCCTAACATGGAATACAAACGCTGCTCATCCTGTATCCCTGGATCAGGAGCCCTTACAGGATACTATCAGCCGGGCCAGATGAGCCCAGGTATTTTAGTGAGCTTGTTACTGCTCCCCCTCCTCCTTTTTCATCCGGGCTTGGGGCAGGGCAAAGGCAGAGTTCCAGCCTCCTTTATAACACCAAACTCAAAGTAATGAGTCCAAAACAAAATAAAGTGTATGTACACACACTATTTATTTATTTGGTCTCATTACCTTGTGTTTAATAATCCAAATTGTGCCTTATAACACCAAACTCATTATATAACATGTGAATTATATTATGATACATTAATGCGCCATCTGTTATGAAAATTCAAAACTATTATACATGCTTATGATTCTTTTAAAAATTAAACAATTTCTACTGTCCTTACTGCAATAGAAAAATTAATTTGAAGGCCTGGCTCATCAGTGGTGAACCCTCCCAGCGGTTTTGCAAGTTTAATATACCATAAGGGCAGTAGAAATTGTTTCATTTTTAAAAGAATCATACGCATCTATAATAGTTTTGAATGTGAATTACGAGGGTGAGTAGAAAAGTAAGGTCTCCTATTTTTTTTTTCATAGAAAAACACATTTAATCACAACTTTTTATACATCATTGGAAAGGTTGGACACTTTGCTATTTTTCTACATATTCGCCTTGATGCTCAATCACTTTTTTCATCCTGTCAACCAACTTTGTAATTCCGGTGTTGTACCACTCTCCCGCCGCCTCTTTGAGCCACTTGTCTCCTCGAAAAATAATTCTCCGGCCGAAATTCACCGTCAGTTAGTGGAAGTGTATGGTGAGAAGTGCATGGACATCAAAAATATGCGGAAATGGTGCCGGGAATTTAAAGAGGGGCGGATAAACATCCACGATGAACAGCGGTCTGGGCGGCCGAGTTTGCTGGAATCAACCGTGGCTCGAATCGACGAAATGGTGTGCGCAAACCGGCGGATAACCCTTGAAGAGATCGAGGATGGCCTGAATGAAGATTGCAGCCACTTCTCCGTGCACAAGATTGTGTCTGAGACCCTCGGCTACAGAAAGGTTTCCGCCAGGTGGGTCGACAAGTGGCTCAAAGAGGCGGCGGGAGAGTGGTACAACACCGGAATTACAAAGTTGGTTGACAGGATGAAAAAAGTGATTGAGCATCAAGGCGACTATGTAGAAAAATAGCAAAGTGTCCAACCTTTCCAATGATGTATAAAAAGTTGTGATTAAATGTGTTTTTCTATGAAAAAAAAAAATAGGAGACCTTACTTTTCTACTCACCCTCGTATATAAAAATTAGGCACAATTTGGATTATCTACTTATATATTTGCCTTATTCTGTCTGTTTGAAGCTCACGGATGGGATTTTTCATAACCATCGGTGGTTCAGTGGTAGAATGCTCGCCTGCCACGCGGGCGGCCCGGGTTCGATTCCCGGCCGATGCATTTTTTTTTTTACAATTTTTAAAACTCATTTATATATTATACAAGAATGACATCCACGGCGCCAATTTATAATTGTAACGAATAGTATTTGAATAAAAGCATTTAATCGGGTAAAACGTTAATTTTTGTTTCGATTTTATTGAAAAAAAAAAACGATATGGTGCCTTTAAAAAATGATCTTTATTACTATGCAGTTTTCTATTTAGTCAATATACCTAAGTTCATGTTGCAAATGTAATTATCTCTATCGATTTAGTAGGTGAAATGCAAAAAAAAAAATCGACATGATGAAATCTTTATGAAAATTCACATTTTTATTTTTATATTTTCAAGACACACACAGTTTGGGGCGGGACGTTTCACAAGAGTGACATCCATGGCGCCAATTTATAATTGTAACGAATAGTATTTGAATTAAAACGTTTTTAAAATATATACGCACTCGGGTAAAACCCGGGCGTTGCCCGGGCCATTCGTCTAGTAGATTATAAACCACAAGGTAATATGACCAAATTAAAATAAATAAAAATGCTATTACTGAAACGTCACACATTATTTATTTATTTAGATTTGGTCTTATTACCTTGTGTTTAAATATATATTTAAACTCAATCATTATATAACATAATTTAAAAAGTTTAATTTACAGTTGTTTCAACCGTGGTTATAACAATAGTGATGTGACATCTCCTGATGATGCATCTAATAGTTGCTGATGGCTTACATGATCTGTCAGAATAAATATCAACTAATCCTTGTCATCAGAACTCTTTTAGCTGCATGACCAGGAGATACCTTTTTCTTAATTTATCCATTTGTTCCCAGTACAATTTCACTTATGGGGGTCAGTGGAAAGATGGTCTAAACTGTTGGTTTTCAACCGCTACGACCCAGGTTCGATTCCCGCATTGGACACTTTTTTCTGAATTAAAAAAAAAAAATACTCCAATGTCCCCCAAATTTTGCAAAAGTCCAACCTAACCAGCGAGTGCAAGTAACCAACGGGGCTCTGGCACATATGTAGACATGTGGTGCACTTAGAGTAAAAGCAGTTGCCTACTTCTACCCACCATGATTATCATGGCCTGTACCACGTGTACTAGGGATAAGCAAAAAAAAAAAACAACTTCACTTTCGTACTATTTTTTACACATCATAAATATTTCTTGCAAATACTCTTTCACTATTCATTCAATGTTGTGATGTTATACAGTAAAACCTCCCTGTAAAGGACACCTAAATGCAGAGCCAAAGTGTCCTTTAGGGAAAGGTTTCCTCTTACCGAAGAGTTGCTATATAGTAAAAATGGTAATTTTGTAAATTAAAACTGTCCTTTGTAGAGAGGTGTCCTCTCATGGAGGTTCTACTGTAATAACTGTATTTTTCATTTCTTTTTTACACAATACAAAAGGAAGAGTTGAAGACACATTCTGGTATCAGTTGTTGATATTAAACCCAAACCAGAGTATTGAATAGTTTTATAATGTAAAACCTGTCTTAATGAGTTTTCCTATCTGAGGAGTCAAATTTTAATTGCAACCATTTATTCTCCATTAATTTCCTTAAAACATTTGATCCTCTATTGAAATGCATTCACATGTCTAAAACCTCCAATGGCTGAATACCCTATACAGTAGAACCTCCCTGTAAAGGACACCTAATTGCAGAACCAAAGTGTCCTTTAGGGAGAAGTGTTCTCTTACTGGAGAGTTGCTTAAGTAAAAATGGTAAATTTTGTAAATGAAAACTGTCCTTTGTTGAGAGGTGTCTTCTAGCATGAGTGTCCCTTCATGGAGGTTCTACTGTATTAAGAGCATCAAGAATAAGTTAAATCTTAGGCCAATTTTTTTCAAAATGTTTTGTAAGTGTAGTTTTACTTGGACCAAATGGAAATTTACAAAACTGGTGTTACTCCATATAATGGAACCTCTTTGTAGTCTCATTTATAACAGCAATTTGATAAAGCACAATTTGGATTATAGCTACAAGAAAATAAAGACCAAATCCAAATAAATTAATAGTTTGTGACGTTTCAGTGACATTTATTCTTTTATCTGATGATTGTAACAGTGTTGTTACCGAAACATCACACTATTAATTTATTTGGATTAGGTCTTATTTTCTTGTAGCTATAACAGCATTTTATAATTCTTTAGCCCTAATTGTTTTTACCATGGTTATAACAACAAAATACTCCAATGGCCCCATGACTTTCATCAAGTTATACTTCATCAGTTCTTTTTTTATTATCCCTAGTATACATGGTACAGACCATGATAATCATGGTGGCTAGAAGTTGGTGATTGCTTTTACTGTAAGTGCACTACATATCTACACATATGAAAAGCAGTTTGACTTTTGCTTTTAAAGTGTGCCAAAGCTCCATTTAGTTACTTGCACTCGCTGGTAGGGTCGAACTTTTTCAAGAATCAGGGGCCATTGGAGCATTTCTTTTTTAATTAGAAAAGTGCCCAATGTGAGATTTGATTGTGGGTCGTAGTGGTTGAAAACCAACGGCTTAGACCACCCTTCCATCGACCCCTTAATTCATCAGTGAGATTAGTAACTAAATAGGGCTCTGGCACAGTAAAACCTCTCTAAAAAACAGCACCTACAAAACCTAAAAAACAGCACAAAACTAAGGTAAGTTATACTTTTTAGCATGTATATTGCAATTCAGACTATAACTCTGAAAATATTAGATACACAGTAACCTTTATTAAAGATGAGATAATCAAGTGTGAACCAAACTGCTTCTGTCTCTTTAAAAAAAAAATTTTGACGACTGGTGATATCAAAATATTAAACTTCCTAAAGTTTTGTCCATGAGTGTAGATGCAGAACCAAAATGTCCTTAGGAGAAAGGTGTTCTCTTACCAGATTGTAGCTAATTGGTAAAAATTGTCTTTTCTGGTGATGACTTTTTATAGAAGGCAGACTAATGGAGGTTTTACTGTAGCTTATAAGCTGCTGAGTAAATCTTAGGTGGTATGCTTACAGTAAAGGTGCCTACCATATCATAACCTGGGTTGGTGGAAGAATGGCCTAAACCATTGGTTTTCAACCAATACGACCCGGGTTTGATTCCCGTATTGGGCACTTTTTTCTGATTAAAAAAAAAAAGTGCTCCAATGGCCCCCGATTCTTGCAAAAGTCCAACCCCACCAACAAGTGCAAGTAACCAAATGGGGCTCTGGTACATTTGTAAGTGCAAAGTCGAACTGCTTTTTACATGTGTAGTCATGTGGTGCACTTACAGTAAAAGCAGTCGCCTAATTCTACCCACCATGATTAGCATGGCCTTTACCACATGTACTAGGGATAAGCAAAAAAAAAACCTGTATGTACTACAATAGAACCTCCCTGTAAAGGACAACACCTAATTGCAGAGTCAAAGTTTCCTTTAGGGGAAGGTGTCCTCTTACTGGAGAGTTGTTAAATAGTAAAAAGGGTAATTTTGACAATTAAAACTGTCCTTTGTAGAGAGGTGTCCTCTAGTCCGAGTGTCCTCTCATGGAGGTTCTACTGTATATGCACTTGTGATTAGTTTCACCATATTTTTAGTAAGTTTCAAGGAGACCAGCTTTTTTGGTCATTTAAGTGGTACAGTCTGCACCATGCTGACGAGGGCCAACAGCCTGAAAAGCGTACATGGTTGGTCTTTCTTAATCCAGAATGTATATTGACCAATATTCAGGAATAATAAAAAAATCAATAATTAGTTGATATTTATTCTAACAGATGGAGCAAGCATTTCAGCAACTTTCAGTTTCACAACTAGGAGATAGTTATTTTATCGACCTTACCTGACCCCAGTACAATTTCTCTGGGGTCGGTGGAAGGAGGGTCTAAAGCATTGGTTTTCGACCGCTACGACCCGGGTTCGATTCCCGCTTTGAGTACTTTTTCTGATTTACAAAAAAAAAAAAATGCTCGAATGGCCCCCAATTCTTGCAAAAGTCCAACCCGACCAGCGAGTGAAATAACCAAACGGGGCTCTGGCATATTTGTAAGGGCAAAGTCGAATTGCTTTTCACATATGTAGATATGTGGTTCACTTACAGCAAAGGCAATCGCCTACTACTACCCACCATGATTATCATGGCCTGTACCACGTGTACTAGGGATAAGCAAAAAAATAAACAATTTCACTTTTGTACCATTTTATACACATCATAAATATTTCTTGCAAATACTCTTTCACTATTCATTCATATGTAAGGTGGCCAAAATAAAAAATGTAATACAGTAGATCCTCCATAAGAGGACACTCATGCTAGAGGACACCTCTCTACAAAGGTCAGTTTTCATTTGCAATATTAGCTTTTTCCAGTAAGAGAACACCTCTCTACAAAGAACACTTTGTCTTTGCAATTAGGTGTTGTCCTTTATAGGGAGGTTCTACTATACTATATTCTTTATACTGCAGCTGTGAATCTAACCTAAATAAAATATATAAAAAAATCAACCAATTAACTCCCACTAGCTAGTGATGTAAACAGAGAAAAGTGTCTTGGCAAGCAATGTTCTACAATAAAGTCTTTTTAAATATAAACTTGTCTAATTTCTTTTGGATATACAGTAGAACCTCCCTGTAAAGAACAGCTAATTGCAGAGCCAAAGTGTCCTTTAGGGAGAGTTGTCCTCTTACCAGAGAGTTGCTAAATAGTAAAAATGGTAATTACTGTCTTAAAAACTGTCCTTTATAGAGAGGTGTCCTCTAGCGTAAATGTTCTCTCATGGAGGTTCTAGTGTATATGAAAAGAACATACACCTGTTCTAAACAAATTCTAAATTTCTAGGTATTATAGAGAAATAAATAATTAAGAACTTTTGTAAGGTATTTATAGTTAAATTTTAGCAAATCTTTTGGCTTGTAATTACTATTAAAATGTTTATCAGTTATTCCATTAGATTGTTCTTCAAATTACATTAAATTTATTCACAATTGAATCTGTGTGCAATGTTGATTAAACTGATAATTTTATGGAAAAATGACTTGTATAGTTTCAATGAAAATGCATTTAGTTGATACCATGTGTATGAAAATGGTTCAAATAATTGAAAAGTTAGCAAAATGTGTTCCAATAAACAAGATTCTATTGTATATATGTATTATCCTTTTTTATGTTCTGAATCAATGTTTTAACATTAGAAAAAGTTTTACATAGTTTCACACTTGTGTATAAATTTGAATAAAAGAAATATTTTCTATGCATTAATATATTACTATGTACTAATAATGCTATTAGTTTTTATATTATTATAAAATGTATATATAAGACAAAAAAATTACAAACAAAAATATTTACTACCTGTTTATTTCCGAATCAAAATAATTTGCTGGGGAAATTTTATAAAAACAAATTACTAGCAATACTTGCTTCTAAACTTGGTAGCCCACAATGGTACCACGTCCAATTCCTTCTCCAATGAAGAAGCAAAGCAAAATTTCGGCCACAATTAAAGTGTTGACAGTAGCGTCTTTTACATTTGTATGGCGCCAGTTACCATTTTTAAATCCGCTAATGAGCTTTCTTGTTTCTCTCATTATTTGTGGGATCTCGGCGGGCGATGGGGGTACAAGTTCCACCTTGGCGTATTTTCCAAAGGTCACCAGTTTGGGTTTTGCTCGAGTTGCTGCTGTTGCGATTAAACCTGGTGTTTTTTCCACCAAATTTTTTACTAATCCAACTGCTTTAGCCATTTTGTGCTAGTTTCTTTAAGAAGCAAAATCAAATGAATCGTCGTAAAAGTGCAAATGTTTACCCAAAGAAAAGTGTGCGTTAAGGTCAGGGGTGCTGAATAAAATAATTAAAACAGAATTATTGGCGTTCCGAAATATTATTTTAAAATTTAAGTTTTTTAGTTTCAACTACAAATATATATATATATTAAAATAAATAGAGAGTTTGCCTCAACACTATGAATAAAACCTTTCTTGAATTTAAAAATTCATCATGGTGTTGAACGTGTTTAATATTGTTTTTATATTAATATAATTTTATATATTATTAAAAGCTATCAAATTGTTGCAAAATAAAAATTTTCATAATTTATAAAGTTGAAATTATTTTTTCCAATAAAATGATTATTTAAAATATACTTAACAAGTTAAAAATATATTTATTGTCGTTTTGACCAATATGTTTTAAGGGATTTTTCAAAAGAATTGTTTATATTAATTGTATTGTTTTCATTTACATAAAGGAATAAATATTTTAAAAGTTTTGTGCAAAGAGAACATTTTTAATTAAACCTTTGCGTAAGGTAATTGATCAAAAGAATTTTAAAATTACCTTATTGTTTTTAATTCATATAATTTTTCAAAATAACCCTTTGTGAAATAACCGGTCTTCTTGTAGTAGTTAAGAAGCGCCTTAACAAATTTACGTAAAAAAA